GGCTGCCAAATTCGTGGGTTGGCCCCCACCCATGTGGGAGGTCAACCCTTTTTGTCCAGAAGTGTACAATCGGTCCTGAAAGTTGTATTTTTCGGACTGTTTTAATTTTATTTTATTTTATCGGGTCAAATAAAATATATTATGCGTTCTCCATCATTATGACCCTTATAATGAATATTCATTCCCAAACTTTAATTTATAAGTCCCCGAAATTCAATTTCGGGCTTTTATCTATTAAATTACCAATACTGGTAATTGGGTCGCTTTTGACCAATCGGTCCACATTATGTCATTTCTTTGGACCAAATAAATTACCCACCACCATATAAATATTATCTAGACCAAGATGAATAAAATATATGGTCTTGGGAATATCCGGTGCTCCCCGCTCCCGGTGTGGGCCCCCACGTGCAAATTTACTTGTGACACTCCAATTTTTTTTAAAAATAAAATAACTCAATTTTATCAGATAAAATGTTACAAAAGTGACACTATCAATAATTAAGTGAAACAAATAAAAGTTTGATTTAAGTATCAACTGTGACATTTTTACACAACATAATAAAGTGACAACTTTTATTAGGAAATCAAAAATTAAGAATTAAAGCTACAATTTAAACTTAAGGGGAATATACTACGACATACGTAGTATTACAATTGAATATATGGAATAGAAGTACCAATTATACACCTGAGAATAATAAAGTACATAATAATAATAAATGTACATGTAACCCATGAGTCGCAGCATACAAAATAGTCTAACAACCAAATAATAGGAGTACTACAAAACAAATAAATAATGCAATACTATTACTAGTAACAGTACTTCAAATAAACACGCATAAGGAATTGAATATACACAAAATAGGAGACTATTACACAGCAGTACCAAGGCGGCCATAAGCCCATACGGCTATACTATTACACAGCAGTGCAACTTCGGCTGAGAACTATAAATACGGGTGTTCAACAAGCTATATTCTGCACACAACCCACCTGTGTATGCTTATATACACTCATATACATACATATAATATATATCTACATACCTGCACTGCCGCAAGTATATACATCCCAAACCAGATCCAAAAACATCACAACGTAGTCTCTGAGAGTAGGGGAGAAGGAATACTTAGTTGTTGAGAGGAACGAAGGTCACCGGAGAGAAAAAAACGATTGCCGGAGTCTTGCCGGGCTAGCTAATCTTCACGACTGAAACCGGAGGAAGGACATCTGCCGCCGAGTCACAGCCACGTACTTCCGAACGTCGCCATCGCCGAACGCCGCCACCTATCAACCCTTCCGTCGTCTAGTAGATTAAAACAAGGTATCTGTGTTTCTCTCTCGTTTCCGACATTTCTACGCGAAGAAGACGACCAATTTATTTTATTGGAATAGCTAGTCTCTATATTATTAAATGGACCACTTCTTTTAAAATATCTGGGCCGCACCTTTGTTGCTAAGAATGGGAATAATAATAATAATAATATGTAATGATGATAGGAATAATAATAAAAGAATGAAAATTTTATTATATAGATTAAATGAATGATATTTTCGGACTGTGTAATTATTCAAGAGAGTTATCATTTTGTTTAGTTGGCTAGTCATCATGTATAGTAATATCAGAATTAATAAGAGAATTGTGAGGAATAAAAATAAATAAATAAACAGATATAGTAATAAGTAGCTACGAAAACAGTAATAAAATCTGAGCTTAATATGTTAAAAGATGAGATCAGATTGGTTAGGCTACTTGGATAAAATTTGTCATTTGTTTAGTTAAAATAAGTACATAATAGAATTCGTAAGATTAATGGACTTATTAAGCAGTTAGAAATAATACACAAATTGATCATTACTTTGGATATGTTATTTTCGTTTTAGCTTAAATTAAGTGTTATTAGAATAATTAATGGGTAAATTAATATAAAGAATGCAATTGGAGTATTTTATAAGTACTGAATTAAATTATTAGGAAAAGATTGAATTACTGGCAATTAGTAAATTTCACTAATTATATTAGTCAGATATGATATTTTGATGATGAGTAATAAGGATGAATTAAAATAGTAATAAAAGGCTGATTAAAAGGGATTAAGTTACTGAGTAATAAATGAATAGAAATTCGAATAATTAAAGTAATAAAGTATAATATTAGAAATAATTAAAGTAGAATAAGGTTAGAAAATCGAGATAATATTACTGAATTAGAGTTAGTCAAATTAATGATTGAAGATTTGGTTATCTTAATTATATTAAGCTAAATTAATAATAATAGATCAACATATTAAAGATAGGTTGGTTAAACTGGTTAATGATTAATAAGTGAGGTGGATGTTAGATTAAGAAGTAAAGTGATAAGATTAATAGAAGTAAATAATTGATAAGTAACGAATAAATTCGAGTAATAATATAAAGGGGAAATTGGTACGATATATAAGTATAGAATAAAGGACTAATTATATCATCTTAATTAAAAAGGTGATTATTTAGAGACCGGAATAGACGAGAAGAACTAGACACGTCACATTCCGAGGTAAGTCACATTGCAACCAAAATTATATTTTTACCTCGTAAGTAATTATTTATTTGATATGTGTGATTATATGGCGGTATGCATATTTTATTTGTGAGCAAGTTGTAATTGTTGTGATTTTGAGATATAATGAATTACATGTATATGTGGGATATTTTGAGAACATATAAAGTTAAGAATTTAAGGATAATAATCCTTGTGGTGAAACTCTGTCCAAGAGACATAAATGTGGAATTTTTGGAAAGACAAGATAAAAGTCTGTTTTCATAATTGGGGCACCGCGGGAGAAATCCGTAGGTGTCGGGCCATCTTCACGTCCGTTAATGGTGAAGGAGGGTTAGGACTACTACTACTTGAATTGAGAGTCTTGAGACAAATTAAATGAATTTTGGAGGGTTCGGTAACCACCCCGAACAACTGGGCATTAGATCCTTTTTTTAAAGCAGCAGTAGTAGTACCTATTCTCTTAAGGGTCTTTGAACCTAGAACTTAGGGAGTATATTCCATTTTGAGTAGGGAGACGTTGACGTCAGAACTACTTAGACTTCATTCTACCCATAGGGCTTGGAATCCCTTTAGGGGGTGTGCACACTTAAGGTAGGAGTCTAGATTCTAATAGAGGAGATGAGGTACCAAGAGAGATCGGGGTGACTGTAACGCCCCAAAATCCGGTCTAGTAGTTAAGATACATATGAATAAATTACTTTATCAAATTTAATATTTTCTCCTACTTCATGTAAATTTAAAATATTATTTAATCAAAAGAGTATTAATAATAAAGTAATAATGGAATAGTACGTACTCTAACACTCTTTTAAAATATTTAATTTAATTGAACCAAAATGGAAAACCAATACTTGTCTCAAAAATTTAATTAAACTTCCTACTAATCTTATACCGACATACGTATGTACTCTTTTTTTTGATAATATGTAAGTATATTAGAAACCGAAAAAATAGCATTTTACAATGCATCAATCCAAATCAAACTGACTATCTAAGCTAGAATAAACTAACCTAGAAATAATGCATCAAAATAATGGGACAGTCCCCACTTCACAAATCACTAATTAAATAAAGTCCAGTCCATCTAAGGAAACCGTAGTTTCCCCATCCAAGAACTATTTTATCTTCCTTCCAATCATTCTTCCAAGCCGTCTTTTATACTTCTCATTTGTCTCACCCTTTCTCCGCCTACTTTTTTTGGTGGTTTTCTTGACATGATGTTCCTGATCCGGTTCCTCTTCAGTCTCATACTGGTTTTCAGAATCAGTAGTATCCAATTTCTCTTCCATATCCGGGTCAATGACTTCGGTCTCCTCTCCCAATTTATCGCCAGCTCTTATTTGCCTCTGAGTAGTTGCAAACTGCCCGGCAGACCCGGTCGGGTCGCTGGTATGCCCGGTCGGGCAAGTAGCAGGGTCAGCAACTGCTGCAATTTTCCCGGGTTCCTCTAAGATCTTTTCTGTCGCAGGTTGAGCATTGGGCAGTTTGCCCTCTTCTATCTCCATCCTCTTCTCCACGGTCTCCTTCAAAGCATCCTGTCCAGCAACTTTTATTATAGCAACATCCATATTCATTTCCTTCCCATTTTCCTCCTTTAGTTCCTTTTCCGCTAGCTCTTTACAAATAAAAGGGTGGTGCCCATATTTTTTGCAATGAAAACAAAAATTCGGAAAGGTCTCATATACCACTTGTTGATTGAATACCTTTTGGGATGGTAAGCGTATAGGAAAAAATAGTGGTGGCGGCTTCGAGACATCAACTTCGACAAGTACTCTGGCAAAATTGTGATTTGCCCTCTCTTGGGTGATTCTGTCCGTCGTTAACGGAGTTCCAATCATAGAAGCCACCTCGCTCATTGCTTCCTCATTCCACAGTTGCATCGGTAAGTTAGGCAGTTTAACCCAAATAGGCACTTTGAGGAATTCTTCATCATCAAATGAGAATTCCTCAGATAGTACCTTAAGCATAAGAAGCTTTCCAAATATGGTATACGGTCCCTCATTCAAAACTTTCATTCTATCCGCATCATTTTGAAATTTGAAAATAATCCAACCTTTGTCATGGGGCCTTACAAGGCACCTCACTCCCCATTTTTCTTTCAGTTCATAGACAGCCTTGAGGCCAGGGAAGCGTCCCGTGAAGCAGCCAACTAGACAATGTCCCCACATCTCAACCATGGTCGGCATAACCTTATTAGTAAACATACGTATGTACTCTAATATATATTATAAGAGTCAAACATATTAAATTGATTAGGTATGGGCAGCCCAATTGAAGGTCTTTTCATATTAGATATTTTACACATAATATAATGCAATTAGACTCATCGGTCTTGAAGGAATAGTTGCTTCAATAATTCTGTCCTCTAATAATTTTATCTACTACGAATTGAAGTATATGAATGAACATAGCTACCTCACACTATATATAAATAGCTCTCATAATCCCAAAACCAATTCCATGCGGCTAGACACAAATAAGTTCCAAAAATACATACTACTACGTATATACCAATTGGGAAAGATTTGAGCAAGTAGAAGAGGTGGAAACGAACTGCAGAAAATAGCTTCGGGTCCAATATCATTAACATTTCTTATATAAGGTCCGTACGTTTTCTGTTTCCATTTTTTTAAGTATTTTTATTATTAGTATCAATCCGTCCCCGTTACGTTATGGGGATGTTGAAATCCGTATATGATCATAATAAGTTATCTGCTTCAATTATGTGTTCATGATCATAATATTTTATCTGTTTTTTTTTTTTAAATATGAGAACTTTCATTCTGTGAGTGCTCGATTGGTCCTCACTATAGTTACTATAAGTATAAATGTAAAGTTTAAAGAGAAATACGACCATTTAATTGTAATAACATTAAGTAATTATAAATCGAGAAATAAAACTTAAACAATTGTAACTCTGTTCGGTGTATGTACGTATGCATATGAAATCATATACTTTAAGCGTTTAAGATATCGTGGTATGATAAATGGCTGAAATATATGTATAAAGGTAAATATATGGCCGAAATTCTTAATATATTAAAGGTAAATATATACAGTAACTTTATAAATATATAAAAAGCCGAAATTCTAAATATATGGATTACTTGAATATGTATATAATAAGTATCTTTAGTTAACGATGGTATATATAAGTACATGTATGATCAGTTTAGATTTTTAGTAATAAAATAAGTACGTAACTATAGCTAAATTATTAACATATATGTGTGTATGTATATTCTCGATCATGTAGGAATCAAACCATTATATAAAGAGTATGAGTAATCAGGATTCTTAAATTTATGTATACATACGTGTGTGATTTAGTAATTAACAAGTGTGACGTTATATTCACACACACAAACTCATTTAGATAAGATTCTATGTAAGTACATAAAAATGTGTGCCTTAGGATCATGGTCTAAAATTAGAATAATAGTCAATCATGTATATATATTTTGTTTATATATTACTATTTACGAAAGTGAAAAATAATATGGAGTAATAATTTATGTGTTGATTGCATAACTTTAGTACGTAAGGATCTAAAGTAATGGTTACTGTTTGTTATAAGGAGTATTTTATTAAAAATAATTTCTTAAAGATAATCCATATACTCCGTAGTAATTAATAATTTTATAAAAAGTGTTCAGTATAAAGATTAGTTAATAATCATAAAAATACCCTAAAATAATTTAAGATATGTTAAACGCATTATTTTTTTATTGTAAATAAGCTAATAGAGAGAAATGTTTCCTAAATGCCTTACTCTTGATCCGGTACTCTGACGCGAATACTCCTGTTCTGTTTAGTGTACTATGTACACTCCTGAAATTTTGTCTTAGAGGAATTAGTGTTCTCCTGTTTAGTGTACTATGTACACTCCTGAAATCTTTTTAGAGCACTATTACTCTTCTGTTAAGGTTCGAGTCTCTTCGGTGATCTCGTCCTTTCTGTCAGCTAGCTTCTGTTAGGGATTGGTACGTGTAGCTCCGGCGATTACGTTTCCATATCCTTTCTGGGTAATGTGGGTATGGACTTTATGTTCGTATTCCTTACCGTTAGTATTCCTCCGTCTAGGTCCAGTTTCTTGAGTACAAGGCTTAAATGAATTTATTAATAATATACCTCCGGATAAGAATTATTTAATAATTACGATATCTGAATATGCTTCTGATCTGTATATGAATATTATGATTTTCATGACCGTTATTCGGCTCACTCAGGTATGTCAATTGTTTGTTTAACTAGATGCTAATTATGATATGTTGCTATTTGATTTAAATATGTGATAATTATTATTATCATTATGATTATCGTTATCAGTATTTGTACCGTACCACTCAGCACATTGCTGAGCGGGTAGTTGTTTGTTTTTCCTACCCGTAGGTTGAAGTACATTCAGCTAAGATAAGGATGCTGGGATGGAAGGAGGCATAGGATTCATGTGCATATCATGTGTGTATTGTTTATAAATAAACAAATAAGAAGCAAGTTTGACTTTAAACTTATCTGATCATTTTCGTTGTGTAAACGCTTCCGCATATTTTAAATATTTTGTGTTGTATAATATTAAGTGATTTATGGCGAATTGATATTTCAGGTATCGAAAAATAAGTTGACGTTTGAATAACGATGATTTATTTAAATAATAAATTAAATTTGTTTTAAATAATTAAAAGTCTTTTGGTTAAATCCGTTTTGACTCCTGCCTCGTGACACACCGCTCGGGACGGCGGGGCCAGTTCGGGTAGGGTGTTATATTTTGGTATCAGAGCCAGGTTTTAAATGATTCTTTTAATCCTTGGGTAAATGGGTTTTACTTTATTTAAACTATGTGTCTTGCGTTGCATTTTAGAAGTCCGCCTCACATCCTGGTATTTAGTTATATCATAGAAAACTAAGTTATTATGGAACTTTTAAATTTAGGCGCCTAAAATGTCATCTGAAGATCCAAGTGAGCATTCTGTGCATGGATCTGAACATGCCAGCGCTCACCATGATGAATACCATGTTCCTAATCCGTTCATACAGCAGATGACTGGACTGTTCCAGCAAATTGTTCAAAATGTGATCCCGGCTAATAACGGAGATGCACGGGAGTCCATTACGATCGAGAAGCTAAAGAAGAATGGCGCCTCCATTTTCTTTGGAAAAAGGGGGGATACTCCGGAAATTGCCGAATTTTGGCTTGAGCAAACTGCTCGAGTCTTAGAAGACTTACAAGTGCCGATAACCGATCGCCCACGACATGCTATTAGTTTGCTGCAACATGGAGCCTACGATTGGTGGAAATCAGTACTTCTCAGACCAGATCTACCGAGACCCGCGACGTGGGACTACTTCCAGGAACGCTTCATAGATCAATTTGTCCCGGCCTGGTACCAAGAAGAACGAAAACGACAGTTTATGGATCTGACACAAGGATCCATGACGGTGGCAGAGTATGCATATGAATTCCTTCGCCTGAGCAAGTATGCTCCTGATATGTTAAGAATGGAAGCTGACAAGTGCCGGAAATTTGAGTATGGGCTTAATGAGGAAATCGCTGGGCAGGTGGTCACCTTACGCCACGTTAGTTTCACGTTGCTTGTGGGGGCCGCTCAAAGTTTTGAAGGGTTGCGCAGAAGAAAGACCACCAGAGGGACATTTTCTTACTCAGCACTGACAATGAACTCGACGGGGAAGAGACATGAAAGTGGAAAGGGAAAATCTCAGAGTCGATATAATGAATCATCTCGTGCCAAGTCCACGTCTGGTAGCAAAAAACCTCGACCACCGGTTTCTCAGGTCAAAAGTGTCCCGCTATGCTCGTTTTGTGGCAAACACCATATCGGTGAATGTAGAAGAGCCTCCGGAGCTTGTTTTCGTTGTGGTCAAAAGGGGCACATGCTCCGAGAATGCCCTTTGCTTGTCACAGGTGATGCCTCTTCAGCTCCAGTCCGCCCTACTCAGCCCCCACAGATGAGCCAACAAACTCGTATCCAAGGCAATGCTGGGAGCAACTCTGATACGGTAAACAGGCCTACACAGGGTCGTCCCCAGGCTCGGACTTATGCCATGCAGGCTAGAGAAGAGCAACCAGAGAATGATGTCATTATTGGTATGTTCACCCTTTTCAACACTGATATATCTGCTTTAATTGATCCTGGTTCCACACATTCCTATATATGTGTCTGCCCACCTTGTTTAAATGAATATCCAAAAGAACATCTGGACATCCAAATGGAGGTGTCCACACCTTTAGGGAGAAGTATTATTGTTAATCAAATATACCGACACTGTCCTTTAGAGGTTCAAGGGAAACAATTTAATGCAGATCTAATTGAACTACCCTATCGAGAATTTGACGTAATTCTTGGTATGGATTGGCTCTCTAAGCATAAAGCTATAGTGAATTGCCAAGACAAAACATTACTACTTCAAACTAGGCGGGGTGATACTATTCTTGTTCCCGGAGAATTATTTCCGAAGCCACCTCAACTCATTTCTATGATGCATGCTAAAAGGCTTATGCGTAAGAAATGTCAAGCATATCTAGCATATGTTCGTGACACTCAGAAAGAAGCTCAATTAGTACAAGACATCCCTATTGTACAAGATTTTCCAGATGTCTTTCCCGATGAATTACCAGGTTTACCACCATCTCGAGAAGTGGAATTTAATATCAAACTAGTTCCTGGTACCACTCCCATTTCAGCAACTCCTTATCGAATGGCTCCCGCTGAAATGAAAGAATTAAAGGCACAACTTCAAGATCTCTTGGATAAGGGATTCATCCAACCTAGTGTGTCTCCATGGGGCGCACCCGTTTTATTCGTGAAGAAAAAGGATGGTTCCATGAGACTATGCATTGATTATCGGCAGCTAAACAAAGTGACTGTGAAAAATCGTTACCCGTTGCTGAGGATCGATGATCTCTTCGACCAACTCAAGGGAGCCAAAGTGTTCTCAAAAATTGATCTTCGTTCGGGATATCATCAACTGCCTGTGAAAAAGGAAGATGTACCAAAAACTGCATTTAGAACAAGATATGGACACTATGAGTTTTTGGTTATGCCTTTTGGGTTAACCAATGCTCCTGCCGCATTCATGGACCTAATGAACAGAGTATTCAAGCCCCTTCTAGACCAATTTGTGGTTGTATTTATTGATGATGTTCTGGTCTATTCAAAGTCTGAGGAAGAGCACAAGGAACATCTTAAGGTTGTGTTAGAAACACTACAAAAGCACAAACTCTATGCCAAGTTTTCGAAGTGTGAATTTTGGCTTGATCGAGTAACTTTCTTAGGTCACGTCATTTCAGCAGATGGCATAAGAGTTGATCCCACGAAAATTCAAGCCATTACAAATTGGAGACCACCTCGAACTGTGACGGAGGTCCGAAGTTTCTTGGGATTAGCAGGTTACTATCGTCGCTTTGTTAAAGGCTTTTCCTTGATAGCTTCACCTCTTCATAAACTCTTGAAGAAAGATTCACGTTTTGAATGGGCACCCTCTTGTCAAGAGAGTTTCGATAAACTAAAGAAGGTTCTCACAGAAGCTCCGGTACTTGTTCAACCGGTATCTGGTAAGGATTTCACCGTGTATAGTGATGCTTCTCATAATGGCTTGGGATGTGTATTAATGCAAGAAGGAAAAGTGATCGCATATGCCTCGAGACAACTCAAAGAGCACGAGAAGAACTACCCCACACATGATCTGGAGTTAGCCGCTATTGTCTTTGCTTTAAAGATATGGCGACATTATCTTTATGGGGAAAGGTGTTACATCTTTACCGATCACAAAAGTCTGAAATATCTTCCGACGCAAAAGGAGCTAAATTTGAGGCAAAGGCGTTGGTTAGAATTAATCAAGGATTATGATTGTGTAATCAATTATCATCCAGGGAAAGCTAACGTTGTGGCAGATGCTTTGAGTCGGAAAACTCTAGCTGAATTACATCTTAAACCTTCACTTCAAGAAGAAATCATAACAGCTCAAAAATCTGATGATCAGTGCCTTCAAATAGTGGAGTCAATTTCTAAAGGGGAGAAACCAGATTTCACTAAACAAAGTAATGGTGGATTGTGCTTCAAGGGACGTTTGGTCGTTCCTAATGGAGAGGTTAAACAAAGAATTCTTCAGGAGTCACATGAAACAAAGTACTCAATGCATCCGGGCAGCAACAAGATGTATCGAGATTTGAAGAATCTATACTGGTGGTCTGGTATGAAACGTGATATAACTGAGTATACTTCTAAGTGTCTCACTTGCCAACAAGTTAAAGCTGAACATCAAGTTCCATCTGGATTGTTACAATCGATTACAATACCAGAATGGAAATGGGATCGGGTAACCATGGATTTTGTGGTGGGATTACCTTTGACACCAAGGAAGAATGACTCAGTTTGGGTAATTGTGGACCGACTTACCAAATCTGCTCATTTCATACCCATTCGAAGGGATTTCTCCTTAAACAAGTTGGCCGAATTGTATCTCCAAGAGATAGTCTGATTACATGGAATACCGCTATCCATCATATCCGATAGAGATCCAAGATTCACTTCTCAATTATGGAGAAGCTTACAAGAGGCACTTGGTACAAAATTGAACTTTAGCACAGCCTTTCATCCTCAGACAGATGGTCAATCTGAAAGAGTTATTCAAATTCTTGAGGATATGATGCGAGGATGTGCTATTGAATTCAAAGGAAGTTGGGAGAAATACTTGCCTCTTATGGAGTTTGCATACAACAATAGCTATCAAGCTACCATCCAGATGGCGCCGTACGAAGCTCTGTATGGTCGTAAGTGTAGAACTCCGGTCTGTTGGACAGAGCTAAGTGAAAGAAAGACCATTGGGCCAGATTTGATTCAAGAAACAGAGGAGAAGGTCCAGTTGATTCAACAACGACTCAAGGAAGCATCAGATAGACAAAAATCATATGCTGATTTAAAGCGTCGTGATATCGAGTATGCTATAGGAGAAAAAGTTTTTCTGAAAGTGTCTCCTTGGAAAAAGGTATTGCGTTTCGGAAAAAGGGGTAAGCTAAGTCCGAGGTTTATTGGACCTTACGAAATCACTGAACGTATTGGTCCTGTAGCCTATCGACTAGCATTACCATCAGAGCTGAGCCAAATACATGATGTTTTTCATGTGTCAATGCTAAGAAGATATAGATCTGATCCTTCACATGTACTAACACCCGGAACTGTGGAGCTTGATAAAGATTTAACCTATGAAGAAGAACCTGTACAAATTCTGGCTCGAGATGTGAAGGTGTTAAGGAATAAAACAGTTCCCTTAGTCAAAGTTCTTTGGAGGAACCACACCACGGAAGAAGCAACTTGGGAAACCGAAGAAGCTATGATGGCTCAGTACCCATATTTGTTCAACAACGTCAACTCAGGTAATTTCGAGGACGAAATTCTTTTAAGGGGGGGAGAAATGTAACGCCCCAAAATCCGGTCTAGTAGTTAAGATACATATGAATAAATTACTTTATCAAATTTAATATTTTCTCCTACTTCATGTAAATTTAAAATATTATTTAATCAAAAGAGTATTAATAATAAAGTAATAATGGAATAGTACGTACTCTAACACTCTTTTAAAATATTTAATTTAATTGAACCAAAATGGAAAACCAATACTTGTCTCAAAAATTTAATTAAACTTCCTACTAATCTTATACCGACATACGTATGTACTCTAATATATATTATAAGAGTCAAACATATTAAATTGATTAGGTATGGGCAGCCCAATTGAAGGTCTTTTCATATTAGATATTTTACACATAATATAATGCAATTAGACTCATCGGTCTTGAAGGAATAGTTGCTTCAATAATTCTGTCCTCTAATAATTTTATCTACTACGAATTGAAGTATATGAATGAACATAGCTACCTCACACTATATATAAATAGCTCTCATAATCCCAAAACCAATTCCATGCGGCTAGACACAAATAAGTTCCAAAAATACATACTACTACGTATATACCAATTGGGAAAGATTTGAGCAAGTAGAAGAGGTGGAAACGAACTGCAGAAAATAGCTTCGGGTCCAATATCATTAACATTTCTTATATAAGGTCCGTACGTTTTCTGTTTCCATTTTTTTAAGTATTTTTATTGTTAGTATCAATCCGTCCCCGTTACGTTATGGGGATGTTGAAATCCGTATATGATCATAATAAGTTATCTGCTTCAATTATGTGTTCATGATCATAATATTTTATCTGTTTTTTTTTAAATATGAGAACTTTCATTCTGTGAGTGCTCGATTGGTCCTCACTATAGTTACTATAAGTATAAATGTAAAGTTTAAAGAGAAATACCATTTAATGGTAATAACATTAAGTAATTATAAATCGAGAAATAAAACTTAAACAATTGTAACTCTGTTCGGTGTATGTACGTATGCATATAAAATCATATACTTTAAGCGTTTAAGATATCGTGGTATGATAAAAGGCTGAAATATATGTATAAAGGTAAATATATGGCCGAAATTCTTAATATATTAAAGGTAAATATATACAGTAACTTTATAAATATATAAAAAGCCGAAATTCTAAATATATGGATTACTTGAATATGTATATAATAAGTATCTTTAGTTAACGATGGTATATATAAGTACATGTATGATCAGTTTAGATTTTTAGTAATAAAATAAGTACGTAACTATAGCTAAATTATTAACATATATGTGTGTATGTATATTCTCGATCATGTAGGAATCAAACCATTATATAAAGAGTATGAGTAATCAGGATTCTTAAATTTATGTATACATACGTGTGTGATTTAGTAATTAACAAGTGTGACGTTATATTCACACACACAAACTCATTTAGATAAGATTCTATGTAAGTACATAAAAATGTGTGCCTTAGGATCATGGTCTAAAATTAGAATAATAGTCAATCATGTATATATATTTTGTTTATATATTACTATTTACGAAAGTGAAAAATAATATGGAGTAATAATTTATGTGTTGATTGCATAACTTTAGTACGTAAGGATCTAAAGTAATGGTTACTGTTTGTTATAAGGAGTATTTTATTAAAAATAATTTCTTAAAGATAATCCATATACTCCGTAGTAATTAATAATTTTATAAAAAGTGTTCAGTATAAAGATTAGTTAATAATCATAAAAATACCCTAAAATAATTTAAGATATGTTAAACGCATTATTTTTTTATTGTAAATAAGCTAATAGAGAGAAATGTTTCCTAAATGCCTTACTCTTGATCCGGTACTCTGACGCGAATACTCCTGTTCTGTTTAGTGTACTATGTACACTCCTGAAATTTTGTCTTAGAGGAATTAGTGTTCTCCTGTTTAGTGTACTATGTACACTCCTGAAATCTTTTTAGAGCACTATTACTCTTCTGTTAAGGTTCGAGTCTCTTCGGTGATCTCGTCCTTTCTGTCAGCTAGCTTCTGTTAGGGATTGGTACGTGTAGCTCCGGCGATTACGTTTCCATATCCTTTCTGGGTAATGTGGGTATGGACTTTATGTTCGTATTCCTTACCGTTAGTATTCCTCCGTCTAGGTCCAGTTTCTTGAGTACAAGGCTTAAATGAATTTATTAATAATATACCTCCGGATAAGAATTATTTAATAATTACGATATCTGAATATGCTTCTGATCTGTATATGAATATTATGATTTTCATGACCGTTATTCGGCTCACTCAGGTATGTCAATTGTTTGTTTAACTAGATGCTAATTATGATATGTTGCTATTTGATTTAAATATGTGATAATTATTATTATCATTATGATTATCGTTATCAGTATTTGTACCGTACCACTCAGCACATTGCTGAGCGGGTAGTTGTTTGTTTTTCCTACCCGTAGGTTGAAGTACATTCAGCTAAGATAAGGATGCTGGGATGGAAGGAGGCATAGGATTCATGTGCATATCATGTGTGTATTGTTTATAAATAAACAAATAAGAAGCAAGTTTGACTTTAAACTTATCTGATCATTTTCGTTGTGTAAACGCTTCCGCATATTTTAAATATTTTGTGTTGTATAATATTAAGTGATTTATGGCGAATTGATATTTCAGGTATCGAAAAATAAGTTGACGTTTGAATAACGATGATTTATTTAAATAATAAATTAAATTTGTTTTAAATAATTAAAAGTCTTTTGGTTAAATCCGTTTTGACTCCTGCCTCGTGACACACCGCTCGGGACGGCGGGGCCGGTTCGGGTAGGGTGTTACAGTGACCGTACAGAACAACGGATCACTGGGCTCAAAAATCGAAATAACGCTTGAGCACCGCCCTTCTAAATGATTAGGAGAATTAGCTATAAAGCTATTTTGAGGAAAAGCAAATACTTTTGTACTTGAGAATTATTCTTTGGAATACTTATAAGAAATCTTGAGGAAATCATTGGGATTATTACTACTCTTTTGAAGAAAACCATTTTTGTATATATTATTTTTCTTATGTTACAGATGATGTGGTGTATGAAGATTGATGTCTTGAGAGCGCTACTAGAAGACTTTTAGAGAAGCTAGTCTCATTACAATAATCTTTGTTCGTTTACGCTATTTTAAATGTTGAACTATAAATCTTCACTTTGGTTACAATTATGGTGGATAGCCTTAACATCCAGTCCGATGAGGGCTGGGTGTGGCGGTGACACGCCCTTTTCCTTGTCGTTGTTTAATTCCGCTGCAAACATCTGAAAGTTTAAATAAATAAATCAACTTTACTATTTCTTTATGTATTATTTTGGGAGGGAAATTTGGGGGTGTTACATTACTATTCACGCAAAAGAGTTAATAAAAATTCACAACTTCGTATACCCATTAACCATTCCATAAGGTTCAATACATTATTCACTTAAAAGTAAATACATTTGGGGACGGTGTTACAGTTAACAACTATAGGAAGATGGCGATTGGGGAGGCAGATAACGAACTTGATTTTGATACAGAGGAAGCCGCTGTTGAGGAAGTGACCGAAGATCAAATTGGCTTCCCGGTGGTTGGGACGGTGATTTCTGATCGGAGGGTTAATTTTCACGCGCTTCAGGATGCGATGACTTCAGCTTGACGTCCTGGTAGGGGCGTAGGGGGTATCAATCAAGGAAATCGATGAAAAAAGGTACTCCCTCCGTCCCGCAAAATAGTTCCTGGTTTCCTTTTTGGGCCGTCCCAAAAAATAGTTCTTATTTCCCTTTTTAGAAAGTTTTTTGTGGCTATCATTCATTTACCTTTTTCTTACTCAACCACAACCACGCATTTCCACTTTATTCTCACTTTCTTAAACTCCGATCCAAGTCAATGCGGGAACAATTTTATGGGACGGAGGGAGTATCTATTTACTTTTAATCATGTTTTAGATATGAACCGTGTGCTGGAAGATGGAGCTTGGGTGTTTGAGAGAGATTTAGTGTTGTTGAAAGCAGTTCAACCAGATGATATTCCTGAAAAACTAATTTTATTTGAGGCAGACTTTTGGGTTCAAGTGCATAATGTTCCTCAAAAATTTAGAAATCTGATTTCTGCTAAGCACAATGGGAATTTTATTGGCTCTTTTATAAAGTTTGATGAGAACAGTTATGGAGATAAAAAGAAATCTTTCTTGAGAATCAAAATCTGTATGGATGTTAGGAAGCCCCTGAAAAAGGGCACTTCTCTGAAGAAGGAAGGAAAGGGACATTGGGTTGATTTTAAGTATGAGAAACTACCCAATTTCTGTTTCATATTGGGGTAGTTGGGCATTCGGATAAGTTTTGCTCGTTACGATATGAGGAAGGAATTATTATTGAAAAATCTTTTGGAGTTGAGCTTAGGGCAGGAGGAGTAAAGACTAGCCTTGCATGCCCTAATAAGTGGTTCGTAGAAGACCCTGTCAGCTTCAGGGGAGCCGGACAGCAAAGGAAGACTGAGCTCGAGGAGGAGCAATCGGCTGAGACAGGGGTTAGTGCTTCAAAACAAGGCGCGGATGATATGGAAGGGGAACTAGGAGAGACAAAACACAGGAGAATATGGGAGGACAAGCTTAAAGAGGATACAGGGAACGAAGACATGACACTTGATAGGCCAAAAAATGGGGAGGTGGCGGGTCAGACCTCCTAGACCCGTCGATTTGCAGTGGATGGTTTTGTTTAAGATTTCGAGGGCTGGAGTTTATTTTATTTTCCTTAGGTTTTATTTACACGAGTTATCTGTTTTGTTATGTTTTTATTCTTTTGTTTACTGTGAAACTCTTGCACTAGGTTTGGAGGTCGAAAGGTCTGCGGTAGGCGTCGTTAGTTTTAATTTGCCCAAATTCGGTCTAACGAGTTATATTGCTTTGTTTAAGGTGATTAACTCAGAGTCTCGTCTATGGGCGGATGGCTACATGCGGTCCTTTCACATTCTTGTACTCCTGTTGTTTGCTATCTTAATGATATAAGCGCCTTACGATAAATAAAAAAATAAAAGTTATTTATAAAAATATAGCTTAGCTTCATAAATGTAGTGATTATATTACTAATTAAATCATATAACATATGTTTAATGTTTACACTTAAATGACCACAACAATTATACTCTAGTAACATATAATCATAATTTTTGTAAATAAACTATATTTGGATAAAAGTTTTGAAAAAGCTCTTTATTTAGAAAAATTTTAAATGTCAAAACATCGATTTTCCTGCTAGATTTTATTTATCTATTTAGACTATTTGGAAGATGATTATGTATTAATTTGAACATGGGAGAACTACCAATAAGCCTCGGACTTACATAAAAAGTGCAAATCACCCCTTTTATAGGAGGCTCTTTCCGGCCGTCTCCATTTGGGGTGGTTTCCGGTGGAGTTTTTTGATGAAATTTTTTGAGCATCTTATTCATTAAGTCTAGTTTACTCAAACCAAATTTCAGCGAAAATTCAATTGGGAAGGGAATCAAATGAATTTTTGAAGATAACTGCACAGTTAAACAGCGCAGTATATTTCAGAAAATCATTTGACTACCTTCCCGGTTAACTTTTTAGCTGATATTTGGTATGAGTAAACTAGACTTAATGAATAAGATGCTCAAAACATTTCATCAAAAAATTCCATGGGAAACCGCTCCAAATGGAGACGGCCGGACAGAGCCTCATATAAAAGGGTGATTTGCACTTTTATGTAAGTTCGAAGGCTTATTTGATAGTTCTCCCATTTGAATATTAAAAGAACACCCATACACGACTTCGCCTAAATATAAGAACATTCATGATAAACATCATTACTACCATATCTTAATCGTAAATTTAATTTCCAACTATGTTAGTATCTATAATGCTAAATTGCACCGTTAAGCATCATATCATAAATTTATTGCTTCAAATAAATTGCACCTTTAAGCACATTTTTATAATTAAATTGATTTTAAAAATGGACTAATACCGATACAGTCCGAGTACTTTCTGGTCTCCTTTTTAACGTGGATACAAAAAAGTCATGTTATTCATGGATGTCCTAGGGAGTATAGGCCCATATATAGCACTCCAACAAAATAAGACAATTCTATTCACAACCCTCTTTTATTAAACACTCACTCATTAGTAATGCAAACTACTTACTTCGTAGCAAATATCTCAAAATGTAGACGTGACGTAATGAAGATATATTTTGAAAGAAAATAACTTAATTATTTTTTAGAAGAGTAACAAGAAATATAACAATCAAAATTCGAAGCGTTACAATCATAACGTTCAATGCTACACTAAGGTGAGAAAAAGAACAAAAATACTCCATACTGGCGTTCATGTTCGCCAACCCTGCAACCATGCGGACTCATACTACAGTGTGATTACTCATGCTACTCAAAAGGGGTCTAGTTTGATCAACCACCGAAAAGGAATTATAAAACTTGCCGGATTTTCTAGTCACTGGTAAGGAGCCAAGTGCGAAAATTGTTCTTGTTTCACCAGCCCTCGAAAAGAAAGTAATACACGCAATTCCATCTTCCTGGATCAATGGTTGTTCAAGAGGGGGGTGATCGGCCTCTATGATGCTAAGGAAATCAAGATTCATGATTGATGAATAAGCCGGTACAAACATCTTACTGGCACATGATAACACCCAACAAATGATGGTGTGGAAGATAATAACACCTATCAAGCGACACTTCACCACAAAAAATAACATCTCTAAACAACAGTAAGAAATAAACGTGTATGTCGTAGAAATGATATTACTGATTAAATGAAACCTTTTTTATGATTGAAGCGAAAAGAAATTGAAAAAGGGAAGAAAAGAGGAAAGAAGAGGAAGAGGACGATAGGATTTCCCCATTGTCGCTCCTCCCTCTTCCTATAGCTCTCTAGCTTTAATTTTACGTAAATTAACATATTCATTGAGTATTTGAGTTAGCCACCATTCAAACATACTTTTACGCCCATAACAAAGATTATATAATTGGAATTTATTATTGTGAAACAAATTTTAAGTATTTACTTAAAATTGATCGCAAATAATAATATGTGAGAATATTGGGTACAATCTCTAAATATGAATCCTCTGATTCTTCACTTGCAATTTGATATGAATATAATTAAATAATTTAATTAAAAATTAAACCTCTAATTCTTCAAATATTCGAACGTTCTTCGGGTCTTCAAATCTTCGTTCTTGAGATCTTCGAATCTTCGAACCTTCATTCTTCGGATCTTCAAATCTTCTTGAATAAAGAATTCAGCTTGAAGGGCCTCCGGTTTTCAAGTGGCTTGATCTTCAACAAAAGAGCCGTTTTATGGCTTGATCTTCTGTTAAAGGGCCTCCCGGGATATATGGCTTGATCTTCAGTTGAGTCTTGATTCAATCTTCATATGAATATCTTCAAATCTTCAAAGATTCATTCTTCATATCTTCGAATCTTCAAAGCTTCGTTCTTCAGATCTTCGAATCTTCAAGCTTCGTTCTTCAGATCTTCGAACGTTCTTCAACTTTTGGCTTTGTTTGATCAAGAATAGATGAAATCACAAAGGATTAAACATATATTCTTGAAAAAAATGTGGCTTGATATCTTCCGATGTTTCGGAATCCTTCAGAGCCTTTCGGGAGTTCTTCAGAGCTTTTCTGTAACGTTTCTTCGACTGGAAGTTCTCCTCTCTTCCTCTCAACTGAGACCCCTATTTATAGGTGTGGAGGGGGTGAAAATATGGCCTAGGGTTGCAGAAATTCGTCCATATCATATGGGCCTCAATTAAAATGGGCTTCCGGTTCTATTTTCTTGCATTTTAATGGCTAGAAAAATCAGCACTTATATAATGTATCTGGACAACCTTTTTAACAAGGTTCGCAACCACTTTCCACGCATACAAACATATTTCCTTAACTAGATTCATTGCTCTCTTCATCAATTGGATCATGCCTCTTATTCATTAGGCCACTATTTCATATTGGGCTTGAAATAGAGAAATCAATAGCATCGGTCCATTTTGTTAAAGACTCAATTTATAATTAAATTAATTGGATATATCAAATGATCCAAATTAATTTAATCACTAAATTTTATCTGAACGGATCCATATTAATATTTTTTTTCTTTTGATATATACGAGTGGTCCGGTAGAATCCGGTTTTGGCCCAATAAATTCAAAAGAGGCCCAGTAGCGTGGATAATAGTCCAGTAGCATTTAAATCGGTTTAATAATATTATGGACTATCATAGAATAGTAAGTCCAAAATATTAAATAATTTTCAATATCCACAATTATATTGTGTGAGACTCAAGGGCTATATTTCAAAATGAAAATACTTAACCAATTTATTCAAGCGCAAAAACTTTTTATACTCGTACCAGTAGTAGTACGCATAGAAAAATACACGTATTTAAGTTTTTTTTTTCAATTCATTTACCTCATCAAATTTATGAGTAGATATATGAACTCATACCGTATCAATTTAATTTTAATATTGTTTTAATTGATAAGAAAGAGTTGAAATCAATTTTGTTAAAGAATGCATATGTAAATAGTATATAAAGAGATGAAGTCTAATGTTTTGTTTTTGAAAAAAATGGAGTCTAATGTTATTCAATTATGCTTTATGAATGTATTTCAAGTTTATGTTTTGGAATTTATCATTTTGGTGATCTGTAATTACTATTCATATTTTATTTATTAACATATAGGATCATTATTTTCAAGGGGTTTTTCCCCTTAATATTACGAATTTCAAATGAATTTCCAAAAAAGTGAGTACTTTTAAAAATTGACAAAAAAGTGATTAACAAGGTCATATATTTGGAATTGACAAATAATTTATGTCACTATGTTCATTTTTCATGTCACTGAGAGTGGTCACCGTCAATTTATTCACATCAAGTATACCATCACACCGCCACAATAATGACACTGTTAAAGTGACGCCACCGCAATGAATGTCACTGCCGCTAGAAAACATGTCACTGTGATAGTTTCCTATAAATGAAATTGCCGTTGTCGACACCATGACCTATCAGCAGCCACCCCGACCCCACTCGCACTCAGCCCCGGCAACCACCTCCGTTAGTGACACCATAGCCTCCCCCCTAACTGTGACCACACAAGCCCCTCCCCCACCCACCAGCCCCCTCCCCAGCCCACCCAGCCCCCAACCCATCAGCTCCCCCCCCTAGCCCACCAACCCACCAGCCCCTTCACAATCGGGCCATAGCCGCAACCAGATCTATTGCAACCGTCACCATCCGGACTTGCAAAACCCTCCCAGTCGTCGTCGCATAACCACATCCAATTTTGAGTTGTCATTGCAGATTCTGAAATTGGGAGGAGAAGAAATTTTGGTCTGTTCATGCAATTCCAAACTCTAGGTAGCGAATCAACGAGAATAGGAAGAAGGTGCAGGAAAAGGCAGGGGTGAGGATTAGGATGGCGGAGACGATCCATCTCTTCTGTCCGTGGAGGGAGACAACGACGGGGATGGTCAAGGTAGTGCAGATGGCCTGCTAGCGTCGATCTGTTCCATACCTTGGGAAGATGGAAAGAGATGATCCGTCTCTTGTGTTTGAGCGCAGATAGGCCTGGACTCGGGCCGGGCGGCCCGACCCAGAACCGGCCCGGCCCGGCCACTGTAGCAACCGGCCCGGCCCGGTGGCCCGGTTCACCGGAGGTTCGGGTCGAACCGGCCCGGTGGTTCCCGGTTCCGGGCCCGGGCCTTCCATATGGTGAACCGGCCCGGCCGGTTCGGGCCCGGTCCGGGCCGGAAATATTTTTTTTATTATTTTTTTTTGAAATTTTTTTATGTTTTGGGTTAGATTAGGTATTTTGGTCCATTTGAGGTGGTTTGGGGTGGTTTGGGGTTGAGAAAGAGGGGTAGGGGATTAAATAAAGAAGCCAAAAAAACAAAAAAAAAAATAGGGCGGGTGGCCCGGCCCGGAACCGGCCCGGTCTGGCCCGGAACCGGCCCGGAACCGGCCACCCCCGGTTCGGGCTCGGGCCTCAATATTCTGAAC